TCGCAGCCATTATCTGCCAGGGCTGTGCAGGTGACCGTTGCAGAGTACTACCCAATCGGATGAGTGACACGTCCCGGAAGGACAGACACGCCACCATCTGCCAAGAGACATGGGCGCAGTTTGTCGGGCTGGCAGGGACTACGCCGCCAGTCAGGAGACGTGGCGTAGTCTGACGGGTACGGTCTTATTAGATAGAAGCTTCCTGAAAACATCGCGTCGCTTAGCAGCGAGTTGCGTTGTAGCAAGCTATCCCGTAGCGAGCTGCCTTGTAGCGAGTTCCCAGGGGTACTTCGAGGTGATTCCTCTTGAGGTTGCCCTTAGGGAAGTTTTTCTGCCTAAGTGTTGGAGTGAGCTGGTTATCCCAGCTCGCGAGCTGGGATAGACTTGTCTTGGAGTATTCCCTTTCAGTATATCGGGGGTCCTCGAGCTCACTCTATAGCGAGCTGTCCCGCAGGCTCGTTACTTAGTCGCAGTCAGGCTGTGGTGCTGAGTTGTTACTTATGCTGAGTCATGTCCACGTGTCACCGTCTCAAGGGGTCGGGTCAAATCACCCTCCATCAGTAACTATTTATTGATATCTTACTCTTTTGTTGTTAGTATTTGGAATTGGGTTGTATTATTATTTGGGTGCGAGTGGAATTTTCCCTTCAAAGTAAAACTATTGTTTACTCAATCTGCCTTTGGGAGATTGACAAAGAAAGTGAAGCTAATGTGGAAGTGTATCAAAGCTACTAGCTTATGGACTTTATGGGAGGAGAGAAATGCTATAATTTTTCAAGAAAATGAAAGAAGTTTTGTTAAAGTCAAGGAGTGTATAATGGCAATGACAACCTATTGGCTGAAATCTTCATACTTGTTTGTGGATTACTCCTTTGATGATTTAAGGAGAAGTTGGGCAGCAATGGCTGCCACATCCTCCACAAGGAATAGAACACAAGTAGATTGGAAACCCCCACTGGAAGGAATTGTAAAATTGAACTTTGATGGTAGTTGTCAAGACAACCTAAGAGGGATTATGAGCGATAAAGACTACACCACCAACATCCTTTCTTTATTTTTAGGACTTGTGGGGTGTCAGTGATTGTGTAAGGGCTAAGATACTAGCAACTGTACAAAGTATACAACTAACTTGGAGTGGAAAACTTTATAGTTGAGAGGGACTCCAAGGTAGTAGTGGACTAGCTGACAAATCTAGAAACAGTTTGTTGGGGTTACTAGGATCATGGTTCAAAGTATCAATATGACACGCCCCATATCAGGCATATCGTATCATATCTTTTGAAAAAGATATGGTCCGAAACATCTGTTTCTAGGTGTTTCAGACCCCCAACTTTTTTAATAATAAAAAACACGTTTTAAACTTCCCAAAAAACAAAATTTGAAAAAAAACTAAAAAAAAAGATGTTTCAGCCGTTTCTAAGTACCAATACGATACGGCTGAAATGCGTATCATATCGATAATTTGGACCTTGACTAGGATCTTTTAAAGAAAGTTAATTGGCTGACAAGAAACGTGAAATATAGGATTTAATGGGTTAGGAGATTGGCAAATGCAATGGCTGATTCCTTAGCTAAGCAAGGGGTATCAAGGGGAGATCTATTTTGGGCTACTTTATAATTGTGATTTAGGGCTGTGTGTGTTTATGTGCATATTGTTCAGCCTTACGGGGAGGTAACACCTCTTGCCTTCTCTTACACTCATTGTAGACTCTTTCTTTGCTTAATAAAATCACATTCATTTATCAAAAAAAAAATGCAAGCAAAATGATTCGAATCTAGGGTTTTTAGTTAAAAGGTGATAAATCCACCAAATACATAATGCTTCAATTATTTATCTTTGGTAGGATCTCTAGCTCATCAAAGTATAGACCTAGGAATAAATATCACTGCTACTAGGGTTGGGGCCAGAGGCTACCCCGGATGTGTAGCCCCATGAAGTAAAAATAAAAAAAAAAACTTTGTTAAATGGGCTTTGATTTGAAAAACTGAAACCATCATCATCATCATTTTAAATTGCCATTGCATGTATACATTTAGTTAGTGTTTTAAAAATCTACTCGGAGGCCGAACCATTTTTTGCCTCTAGGTTACAAGTCACCGGTTCAACCATTCGAGTTAAATGGGTCAAACCGTGCCACATCATATATATATATATATATATATATATGTGTGTGTGTGTGTGTGTGTGTGTGTGTGTGTAAATACATATTTTATCAATAAATATTGTATAATTATATTTTAGATATGATATATGTATATATATATATATATATGTGTGTGTGTGTGTGTGTGTGTGTGTGTGTGTAAATACATATTTTATCAATAAATATTGTATAATTATATTTTAGATATGATATATGTATTATTTTATATTTAAACTATGTTTTTTATTTAGTTTCTTATTTATAAAAATATTAAAAATTATGATTTAAGGCCTTCTTTTTTTTGCGAAAATAGCGGGGCAATACGCCTATGTTCCATTGGGATGCATAGATCTTGAAAAGTTACCCAAAATAATAATAATAAAAAAAGATCACCTCAATCAAACATCTAAGTGCAAAGTTATGCTCTCCTGAAGTTTGCATACATAGTTAGTATGCAACCCGCGACCCGGTCACTGGATCAATGGTCCAACCATCTGGGTCAGGCGGTTTTTGACCTTTCTTTGGGTTTTACTCAAATCGGATCCAGAAACTTGATCGGGTAGCGGTTCGAGCAGTTGAACTGGTCAGGTTAAACAATGGGTTGAAAACACTACATTTAGTATATATTATATTTGTTATTGTATAATATTTACATACTTAATATAATGTATACTACTATTAAAAGTGTGGAATTTTTGCTTGACTAAAATACCCCAAAATTTTCATTTGATCCCTCCCTATAGAGGTGTAAATTGGGTCATGCTGCTCGCGGCCCAGCATGACGAATTGTGGGCCGTGTTGGGCATGAGGTTTCAGATCCATGGGCTGGCATGGCATAGCATGACTGGGCGGGCCGTGCCACTTGCAGCCCACATGCTGGCACGATCTAGCCCGTGGTTCGGCCTACGGCATGACCCATATATATATTATATTATTTTCAATTTTATTATATTATTTAACTTTACTGTTGCATATGTAAACAATTGTATACTTCAAAATTCATATAAAATAAAATTTTTTAAGATCTTTTTTATTTTTTGTCCTTTTTTTTTAAATTGTGCTAAATTTTTCATTGCTTTTTTCAAAGTTAAAAAATGGCTTAACCTAGTTCGTGGCTTGGCTTGGCCCACGGACCAGCCTGACCCGCAGCATGACACAGACCCGTGTGGACTCGAGTCATGGGCCGTGCCGGGCCAAACCCCCAAAGTATCGCAATGGAGGGAAAAGCACTGTCTGCGTGTTGTGTCGGCCCAGCATGACTTTATTTTCACATAGACCTCTCTAATTGTAAAAGGTAAAAATGTAATTTGAACAACAACATTTATCTTCATTCAAGTCCCTCTCATTATATCATATATTAAGGTATTAATTCTCATTAACATTCATATAAAATCTTGACTAGAATACTCCTATTTATGAATTTGGCACCTCCTAATTGTGGGGCACAAAATGTAATTTACACTACAACATTTCTCCTCATTCAATTCCTTCACATTAAGTCTTATGTTTAGGGAATTAACTCTAATTCTTTCATTGAATCCTATATTAATTAACCATATTAAAGTAAATGATAAAGTGATGAAACCTTCATTAAAGTTTTTACTATTGTTGAAACCTCATATGAAGTTTGGTAACGGTAATCACTTCTCATGTACTTTCTAACACAATTAAGAGTACAACCCCGTGTTAGAATCTTCTAATAGGAGGCACAAAAATGTCCAAAATACCCATGTCGTTACTTTTGATCAAAATGTTTATTTTTATAGTTTTAACTTCATATCAATCTACCCAAGCCCTTTCTGTATATTTTTTGAAATTGATTTATTTTTAAATTTGCTCATCATATCAAGTGCGCAAAGATTAAGTTGCAACTTTAAACTATCCTTTTTTTTGTTCATAAATTTTGTATTGATTTTTCTGTAGAAATCAACCTCAATAGTAATTGTATGGGCATTTTGGATATTTTCATGATTTTTGTTAGAGAATTTTAACATAAGGGGTCTACCAGCAATAGTGTTAGAAAGTTTAGGGGAGGTGATTGCAATTACTCAACTTCTTCAACAATGGTCAAAAGTTTCATGGGAGGTTTTAGCAATTTACTCGGAAGAAAAATAAGGGCCCACTTGGGGTTAGGAATTAGAATTGGAATGGGCCATTCCAATTCCAATTGTTTGGTTGGGTGGAATCAAAATCCCATTCCCATTCCTGGTGGAATGGCATTCCCCCATTTGAGGAAATGGCCATTCCCTCCTCCATTGGGAATGAAATCCCATTTCGGCTGATTCCAATTCCTATATGAACCAAACACACTATGGGAATAAGACCATTCTAATTATGATTATGACAGATTCCAATTTTGATTTCGATTGTGAACCAAATGAACCCTAAGTGTGACAAAGAATTATTATTTTTGTTGATGGTAGAAATAAAACACAAATTTAAAACCAACATAGAAATGGAATTATTTTCTTGTTCGATGTAGAGTCAATAATTCAACATAATATCATATTAAATAAAAATAAGTGTGACAAATAAGAACAATTTGTAGGGAGAATGAATTGGTGTATATAGTGGAGGTATTTGACATTTTGAATGTTTATAGGTGTGCAGTGGAATTCAAAAATTTGCATTGGACCTGTCCGTACTTTTCCATAATTTTTATATGTATAGAAATATAAAAAAATTGTATTATATTTTGAAAATATATTATTAATTATAATTATATATACATATATTTTTTGAATATACATGGAAAAATATATGATATGGAAAAGATATGGGATGAGATGGGTTATCCCAGGTAACCGGTTTCAAAAACAACCATTTTAATCACATTTCAAAAAAGGGGGACTGTTCACCTTTTGATCTCCTTCAAGCTCTCAACCTAGCAGCGACAACCCTCAATACCTCCGTCCAACTCGGTCCCCCTCTTTCTCATTTTTATCTCTTATATCTCTCCCCAAACACAAAATACCCAGTGGGTATTACCCACTATTCATCTTCTCTATTGGAACCAACAGCGGACATACAGAGGACTATTCACATCTTTCAGCCCTTGACACAGCAAAAACTAGTGGCGGCAACCTTCCCTCCGATCTCTCCTCATCTTCTCTCTCTCTCTCATTTTTCTCTATTCTTTTCTGCCATATTCTTCATCTTCTTATCTTTGTTGCAACCACCTCGCCTGTTATTATCTCCACCATTGCAACCGGTACATTGTTCACTTTCATCTTCAAACTCTCAGCCGAAAAGAGCAGCAGCGGCAACCTTCCCCCGATTTCTTCTCCCCTTCTTTCTCATTCTCATTTTCTCATTCTTTTCTAGTTTTATCCATCACCATCTTCTTCCTCTTATTCTCTTCATTGCAACTACTTCCCCTGTTCTCCCTTTCACCGCTACAATAGACCCCCCTGTTCACTGTCACCTCTATTGTTGCCGAATCCAAACTTTCCCCTTCCCTCTCTTTCTCCCATTATACCTTGTTACTGTAATTACAGCCAAACCACTACTACAACTCCAAGCAGCCTACAACTCCAAGCAGCAAGCAGTGTTCTCTCAGACTCCCAGCTTTCTCTTCGTCTCTCTCACTTCTCTCGAACCCTCTCTCTCCCACAGCATCACCTCCACTCTAATTTCCTTGCAGCTCTAAGCACCGAAGGCAAGAGTGGATGACCCATACACTCTAATTTCCTTTTTTTTTTCATTGCTGACTTCTAATATCACTTTTAGTTTTTATTTTGGATATTTTAAATTTTAATCATATTATAAAATGATTAGTTAGCGGTTATTAAAGTAAATCCGAAATTGCTGTAAACGTGTACGAAGCATTGTTAAAGATTTTGAATACAATATGATTTTCCATATCACAATCGGGTATTGGCTTTGCAGGCCCGGGCCGGGCCAAGCCTCTGGGTTTGGGCGCCCAGAAATTCGCAGGCAGGAGTGATTACCCCTTGGCCCTGGCGGGAAAGTTACTGTATATCCGTATGGCTAGCATTGCTAAAATTTATTTAGATAAATTTGATTCAGTAGTGTACACTTTAACAAGCATTTCAAAGGTGGAAGTGACAGTCAGAGAGATGGCGCGAAAAGCATAGATATCCGAAACCGGAAATATTTTTCAAGTTTTTCCATTTTTTTCTTTCTTTATCTATTAAGAGAAAGAGCGCGAAGAGCAAAAATTATTATTGTTGTTTTTTTTTTTTTTTTTTTTAATTTAAAATTCTCAAATCTTCACCTAATTTCTTCAATTTCTGCTGAAGCAAGCCCAGATTGCTTATGTTTTGAGTTTTGACTTTGGAGGATCGTTTAGGCCTTAGGGTCTCCAATTTTTTGTTGAGAAGCGGTTTTATGGTGGTTGGTGCTGTCTGATAGGATTTTGAGTTGAAAAAAAAGAAGCATGGAAATCGATGCTGTTGCGAAAAATTTCCAGAGGAAACTATCCGTCTATCAGTCTCTGGTATTGTAATCTCCTTTTCAAGTGTCTCTCTGTTTGTGCATTTCCGTTTTAGATTATTTTCTGTTTTGTGGCATTTTAAAGTTTCACGCAGGAAATGGGGTTGTTTTTCTTTCTTTCTCGCTCTACAGGATGAGAGATTCGAGATTCAGAAGGAGATGTATAGAGGGCAGCAGTACAGCCAGATTTACTTCATTCGTCTCCACAAGATGAGAAGTCTCCTTTATTCCCTCGTTGAGAAATGGAAGCCCGATGTACCCGGTACTTCCCAACTTACTGATTCTTGTAATTCATTGGCATGTTAAGAAAAATCCCATCGCCTTATGATGTAACAAAGGGAACTAATAACTAACCAATTGATCAGAGCTAGAAGCATAAAATACTGAGGTTAGGTTTGGCAAAGATGACTTTTAAGGTTTTATTTTTTTACTTTTGCATGTTTGAGTCGTTTAATTTTAATTTTCTATGGTTTTGGGGTTTTGATCCTGGTGCAGTTTGTACGGTTTTGGGACTTGAAGAAGGAAAAGAATGCATCATTGTTGGAACTTTATACAAACACATGAAGCTCAAACCTTCGGTTCTAGACGAGTACTCAAAAGAGGTTTGAAGGTTCTTAAAGAAGGTTATATGAATGTAAATTAAGATTATCATCTGTTCTGTTCTGAGCAATTTTGTCTAATTTTATTTTTCAGAGATCTGTAGCTCCTCTGGTTAAATCTCATAATTTCATGCATCCTGATGACCAACTTGTTTTGGAAGATGAGAGTGGTAGGGTCAAGCTTGGTGGAACTTTTCTTGCACCATCTATGTTTGTGACAGGTCAGCTGGCCAAAAAGTTGGTTATATTTGAAGCTTACATTGTGTACAAGTTGTTAGGTTGTAGGATCTGTAAAAACTATTGGTCCTGTTGGATTGAAGAGCGTGTAAGAGAACTACCATGGCACTGTCTTGTATGTTTTAGAAAAGCCAGCAGGATTGTGAAAAAAAAATTTCAAAGGGGAACAAATTATTGACTTAATGTGGCAAACAATTTTGCATGGACACAAACATGTAATTAGCGGGTGGTGGAGATTTACATGTATCGCTTACATATTTATATAGATAGAAAATAGGAAATGATTACAAAGAGTTGCAAACAATATAAACAAGTGAACAATATGTACCATGCATTCTAATCACATCCACTTAACGACAATATGATTCTTTAATGGAGTTTTGGGATTTCATTTCCATGTATACTTTGGTTTCTATTGAAATGGAACTAATTTGTGATTATTTATGAAGGATCAGAGCAGCATTGCGAAACTATGGAAAAATTAAATGGCTGCTAGAAATCTTGGGATAAAACTTTAGAAAATGAAATGGTGAAGACATGTATGATTTACATGATAAACAGCAAGTGGTAGAAGCTGTTGAGCAAGCCTGAAGCTAACAATATAACATCCAAGTTATAAATGAATAATGGTTCATATCTATGGTCATGAATTTCAAAAATGTGAATGCTTAAATGGATTAGTGGTAAAACTAAAAAGGACAGGATTAGAAATGAAGTCATACAAAGGAACCTAAGCATAGCTCCAGTAGGCAGTGATAAAATGAGAGATAGTAGATTGAGGTGGTTTGGTCATGTGCATAGAAGACCATCTACAGTACCTGTTAGAAGAAGTGATCTGTTACAAGTAGAATGGCCTAGAAGAGCTAGATGAAGACTGAAAAGGACTTGGGTGGAAGTCATGAGAAATGATTTACGTGGCAATAATTTAACAATAGATATGGCACTGAACAGTACGGAATGTCAAATGACAAAACAAGACTCGTGTAGCCAACCTCATTTGGTTGCGACAAGGCTTAGATGATGGTGATCCATGGTCATAAATTTCATCTTCTGGCTTGTAACATAGAACTATAATGTTCATAGTGCTTTCTTTCAAAATATTGAATCCAAGCTAAAATGTGGATTGGTTGTAGATGAAAATATGTGAAATAGTTGGCCTTCATTATATAGATATATTTTTTAATCTTTGTATGAACTGTTGTGTTAAAAATATATTTATTTTAGTTTATTGCTTTTAAATTTTGGAGATGTTGTCTCCTTGTTACTATTACTATTACTATCATCATCATCATTGTTATTGTTACTGGAAAGATCATTTCTTTTGACCTATTTATGGATTTATTTTGCCTCCTTTTTTTCTATGTATGCAAGGTTTGATATTTGTACCAACTCTTAGCTTAGTTCAACAAAGCCTTATCCCAACCATGTGAAGTTGGCTGAATGAGTCATGTTTCATCATCGTGCTTTATTTAGTGCAATGCCCATTGTTGTATTGCGATTTGTAACCCCCTATTTGCTAATGTTCATCCATTCATCCTAATAAAATATCTTCTTAAAAAGCAATTAAAATTATAAAATGATTATTTTTTGTGTGAGAACTAAGAATCTAAAACCCTAACATGGACTTGTTTGGGCTTGCCTTGAGGGGTGTGGCACAAAGGCGGCTCGTGGAATCAGGAATGTAATATGTTTTACATCACATTAGCTACTTGAAGTAACGCAATTGAGGAAAAAAAGAGATTGTGGGTTTTACATGCTCAAAAATGTTTTATATGTTTGGTTTTATTTTTAAATTTTCATTGAATATGCTTTACATGTTATGTTTATGTATTTTAATTTTAGATAATATGTTTTTTAAAATGTTTATTTTAAAATTTAAGTTTATATTTTTATTAATATTATGTTTAGTATAGTATTGTTTGATTTTTTTTTTGCATTTTTGACATTTTTTGGAGTTTTTAGCATTTATTTTTGCGCCTGTGCCTTTTTTGCACCTTACACTTTTAAAACATTGGCCTAAACCATCTTAGTCACTATCCTTCATTTTATAAAGTCATCAAGTCTACTCTTAGGTTCTTGTGAATATTATTTTTTTTTCCAATCCTATCTTTTTGAGTTTTTCCACTCACCCATGACTATTCTTAACTTTGTTCATCTCTTTTTAAATTTTTTTTTTTGATAAGTTAACTATATTCATCTTTTGAATATGTTGCTTCTTGATTTGAACACTTCCCATAACACTGGTAGTTTTATAGTCATCTTATAAAATTTCCTTTAGCCTGATTTGTATTCCTTGATATGCAACACTTTAGATGCATCCCAAGGAATATAAGTTTCAACGAAATCATAAAAAAATTGTGATTTTGTTTTGGTTTCAGGAATGGCTGGAATGAAGTATGTAGAGTACTATTTCCTTAGTTTTGGTCTAAAATTGATATAAAATAGGAGTCTTATTGGTTGTTTGGGTGATATCAATAATCTTTTTTTTGATAAGAGATTACTGTTGATGAATTTGCTTGAAATTCTGATTTTGACTTTTAAAATTTCATTGAAATTCCAAAAAAAGAGGTTTGGAGCCATTGTCAAAAAGCTAGTGTTATACCTTTATGCACCCCTTTATTTGGTTAAATCTGACTCTAATTTTATGGGCAACATCCTCCTCATGTCTCCCGTACTAATCAAGGTAGCAGAAGAGGTCACATTGTGGTATCTCTCTATCTCAAATTTGAATTATACCGCACTTGACGGTTCTAACTCCCATTATTGTTATATTTACATTGTGCGCGCACACACACACATGTATGTATGTATGTATGTATGTATGTATGTATGTATGTATGTATGTATGTATGTATGTATGTATGTATGTATGTATATATATATATATTCTGTTTTATTCATACTTATCTTAAAACCTTTATTTTTACAGCTTCTCTCTTTAGATCTTATTTTTGCATTTAGTCACATTCTTATTTCATCAATCAATACTGTATTGCCAGCAAACAACTTACACCATGGAATCTCCTAACATGTTTAGTCGGTTCATATGGAGTATGGACTAAGTGTTGATGGGTCCTATTACTATTTGATACTCCCTTCTTTCCTTAAAACCACCATTTTATCTCTCTAGGAACTCTATCATATGCCATCTCCAAATCAATGCATGTAATAAATAAAGTAGTTTGTTACCAATCAAAGAAAAATAAAATCAAATTAGAGCTTCATTGGAAATGTTTCCATGTTTCAATAAAACATTGTATTTGTTATTATTATTATTATTTTGTGCTGTGGATGTAACATTTTGGCCAAAAAAGAACTGAATCTTACCGAAGTCTGAGAGGAACTTATCAGAGCTTGTAATATTTTTATCCCAGAAGGATTTCTGTATAAACACCATGAAAGTGGAAACATTTTAATGGGAATAGCTTTTGTTTTGATAGAAGTCCAAAACCATGCATATTACCAGATGGTACGTTTTAGCATGATAGTGAGAGAAAAAGAAAGATGAAAGTGCTCCTTTTATTGGGTGCTTTGTGCTACACTTGAACAGTTGTATGTATTTATTGCCACATTATGCATACTAAAGCTTTAATTATATGCTAACTATATGATTAGAGCTTAAAAAATGTTGTTAGAACTTTTTATATTAGAGCTTTTAAACTTGTTTCCTTTTATGTTTTTGGATTAGTAACTGAAAACCTTGTTTTATTAATGTATGGAAAGAATTTGTGTGATATGTACAAAGAAATATGTCTAGGCATCCCATTGTAATAGGCTAGATCTGCTACCTATCCAACCCTTTTAATCTTTGTTTTTTACTTTATCTTTCAACTTCAGTAGGGATGATTCTCCAATACAATTGTGTCTTACATGGTCTTTAAACCCACATGAAGCTTGCTTTGACCTCCCTAGCTAGAGTTCTTATTTCTTTTAGGGTGCATTGGTATTGCCATGGGCCATGGCCCTGCACTTATTTTTTTTAAGACACACCATTATGACTCTTGAATCTTCTTCCATCAACATGTCATAGTAGTTGAGTTCTTTCTCTAATTTCAGCCCATAGAGGACAACCAACAAGTCTTGTTTGGTTGAATTTTCATACCTTATAGGCCGGAAGATAATGCTGCAAGCATTCCATCATGGCTTTTAAATGCTCCCCCTATACCTGAAAGACCTGGATTCCTGTACTGCATGCTGCACCCATGACCCATCAAAGTTGAGCTTGACATTGTCTTTTGGAGGGGGAGGCAAATAGGAGGATACCAAGTTGATAGCTAATGAAAAGATGCAATCTGCTAGTCTCTCATGATATCTCCCATTGAGAAACGTTAAAAATAGGCAATATTTTAACCCAATGAGACACTTCTATTGTGATTTTCTCAATCATTGCCTCTTGAGAGTGAGATACTTCTTTTAATGTTTAATTAGTGCATATTAGTGGGTTTCATAGATAGCATCACATGCGTGCCATTGTTACATGATAGAAACTTTAAACAATATCATCATCACCATCATCCATGCCTTGTCCTAACTATATGGGGTCGGCTGCACAAATCCTATCTCACCAATCTATTCTATTTAAAGCCATGTCCATTGTTAAATTATTAGTGCTTAAATCATTTCTTGCTACTTCTACCCATGTCCTTTTTGGTCTACCTTGAGCTCTTCTAGCCCCTTCAATGTTTAACAAATCACTTTTTTAATTGGTGCAGTTGGTGGTCTTCTTTGCACATGCCTAAACCATCTTAGTCTATTCCCTCTCATTTTATCACATATTGGAGCTACTTCTAGGTTCCTATGGATAACTTCATTCCTAATCCTATCCTTTCTAGTTTTCTCATTCATCCATCTTATCATTTGCATTTTTGCCACATTTATTTTTGAACATGTTGTTTCTTGACAGCCCAACACTGTTTTATAGAAGTTTCCTTTTAATCTAAGTGGTATTAGTCTATCACATAAAAGTCCATATGCACCCTCTTCA